GCCAGTCAGAGGGGACCAGCCTGATCCCCCCAGCAAGAGCTGCCAGAAGGAAAGAGCTGTGGGTGTTCTTTGGAGAGCTCTGAGGCTCTGAGTGGGGTGACTTGCTGGTGCTGCGGGGGGCACAGTGATGTCCACCTGCTTATTTTGTGGGGTGCTCTGAACCTCCTTGCACTCCACCCTCTCCCAGGGTCATACATCCGTCTGGCCTAGCGCCTGCCAAGCCTGTCTCAGGAACTGTTTGTTGACTGAATGACTGATCACCCCACCTCACTTCCTCGCTGCACTTCCTCAGTGAGGAAACCAAGGCCAGAGAGGGCGTGGGGGCAGAGGGGACTCACCCGTGGTCACACGGGAAATAGGACTGTCTATGGGACGCCTCTGGGAGGTTGGAGGTCTCCCCCAGACCCCAGACGCACTTCCCGCCCTGGCTCTGGCCTTCCCTGCTGTGTGGCTCAGGTTAATCCCTGGCCCTCTCTGGGCCTCGATTTCCCCTTCCGTACACGGCTGGAGTGGCGGTGATGAGATGTGCACGGCCCTTGTCTGCCCATAGTTGACAGAGGCACAGGCTCTTGTGAGCCTGCTGGCCCCAAGGGAATGCTTGTGCAGCTGGGCCAGGCTCGCTGGAAAAATACAGAACTTTCCTTGGAGGCTGGACCGGGAGGTGCTGAGGCAGGAGGCAGGAAGGAGGAAGGAGGAGGGAGGAGGGTCTGGTGTGTGGGGGCCCGGAACGAACAGGCTGCCTGTTCCAGGGACAGGGACGCAGCAGCACAGAGCCTGCCAACGGGAGAAGAGGAAGACAGGAAGGGGGGGGGGGGGCAGAAAGAAAATGTTCCTGCAGCTCCAGGGGCCGGGGAGGCTGCAGAGGGAGGAGCTTGGAGACCCCTCGGCCCACCTGCCCTGCACGCATTGCCCACTGGTCCCCTGGCCATCAGCTTCACCTTCTGCACCAGTACCAGAGCCAGCCCACACCCTGGGGCCCCTCTCATCCCTCAGGGCCTTTCCCGGCTCTTGGTGCCACCTTGGGAACACCAAGCACTGTGCCCAGCACTGATGGGGTCTCCCAAGGCCCCTGCCCCATTCCACCCTGGCCCCCTCCAGGGGTCTCACAGAGGCTGTCTGAGGCCGGAGGTCGGGCAGGAGGCTTGAAGGAAGAGGACCCCCATCTCTGTCACTGGCCCACTCTGCGGGCTGGGGCAGGTCCTCCTACCCCTAAGGACCCCTGTGGAAGCCGAGGCGAGGGCGTCTCCCTGGGCGGCCAGCAAGAGCAGCTGCGTCCTGATCTCCTCTGCCCCCTACTTTCCCACCTCATGCTTTCTGCCTCCTGGGTCTCTCCCCAGACAGCCCTAACCCCTGCTGTGCGATGCCCATGCTCTGGAGGCGGACTGGGACCCTCACCCCCAGCGCTGCTCTCTGCCTCCCCAGCCTGTCCCCACTGCAGGTGGCCCTCAAGACAGCGATGGCAGGGCTCAAGTGTCCTCGCAGCTGCCTGGACCCAGATCTACCCTCTGCCAGCTGCCCCCGAAACACACAACCAGGTCTGTGCCGCCACCGCAGGAGCGACACCAGGGCAGGCGCTGGACAGGCCTCGTGAGACAGAGGAGGTAGACAGGGCGAGGAAGCCTCTAGAACCCCTCTTGAGGAGGCAAGGGTGGGACCCCCTGGCTACTTCTCAGCCTCCAGAGTGGCACTGACGAGAGGCTCTGGCAGGAACAGCTGGGAGAACCCTCACTGGACCAGGTGGCACGAGGCCAGCGATGAGGCTCCCAGGGCCCCATGGTTCCCAGCTGGCCCTCGAGGCCCTGGCATTGCCACCCACTTCCCTGCTGGAAAGCTGAGCCTCCGGTGAGCAACTGCCCAACGTTTCCTGACTAGACAGGAACAGAACAGGGACCGTTCCACCCTCAGACCCTCACCAATGCCTGCTCCGGGCCAGACCCTGCCCATGCTCAAGTATTCACCTGTGGGTACCACCGGTAGGGTGGTGCAGGGACTCACCCAGGCCAGGCCTCTTAGACAGCCTTGCCCTGTGCCTGCAAGGAAGAGGTCACAGAAAAAGAAGACAGCTGGGTGGGTGTCCAGCCTGGGAGCCCAGCGAGGTCAGAGGTCTGCAGCTCCTGCAGCTGTGGAGCCCTGCGCCGGACAGTGAGGTGGGAGCAGGTGCCGAGAGGCTGGCCGTCATGTCTGCCCATGCAGTCTGGCCCAGCAGTGGTCACCCTGAGGGCATGGGGCAGCCTGGTTCTTCTCTTCCAGCCCCACTGGGCAGTGGGTGGTGACAGATAAGGTCACAAGGCCGGGAAGTGGTCACATGTTGGTGGCAGGTACCCAAACCAACCCCTGAGACCACCGCACCCCTTCCCTGCTGCCCGGCTCCTCACTCCACCCAGACTAGCCACGAGGCCCACACAGAAGGGCAGCAGCAGGAGCCTCGGAATGTGTGCAAAGACGGGGTGGGCGGGGGTGCCCGTGCATGTGCACATGTGTGTGTGCATGTGTGTGAGTGGGGTGGGTGGGCGTGAGCTCTGCCCTGAGGGGCCTGTGTTTGTCTCTCCCCGTTGAGCAGTGCTAACTGCTGGCACCTGGGATCAGCAGGGCCAGCCTGAGGGAGCCGCAGGATGCCCCCGGTCAGCAGCCACCCTGCAAACTCTCCTGGCAGCCCAGAAGGGCCCCGGTGGTGTGAGTCAGCCAGGGCCGCGGCAGTCTGGAGCTGCAAGCAGACAGACACCTCCCTCCGCTTCCTTCGCTCTGATCAGGGTGGAGCAGGGGTGGCTGGGCACCCCAGAAGGAGAAGGGAGGCCCAGGGCCCAGGGCTGCCCCTGCCTCTCAGAGCAGGTACCCCACAAGCCTCTGGGGACCTAGATGGTGGGGGCTCAGGAGCCAGCACTAATAGGTCCCTCAAGGCTGGTGTGAGCCTGGTGGAGACTGTCACAGCACTCTTAAGGAGGGAGGGAGGGGGGGAGGGTGCCTCCCGTCCCAAGGACTGGACCGGAGGTTAGCAAGGTCTGAGTCTGGGGGCCTCCCTGAGATGGCGCATTTGGGAGGTGTCAGAACCCACCAGGATCTCAGCTGTGAACAGAGCCTAGGGGTCACGGGCCGCCCCTCCCTCCCCTGCCGGACCCCTCTCCTCGGGCAGATGGGGCTCAGACGTACGCAGCAGCTCACCAGCTCGGCTTGGAGAGTGGGGGTCCTCCTGACGTCCTCGCCCAGGTCCAGCCCCCGCCCCTTCCCCAACCTGCACCCCCAGGTCACACTGCTCTGGTGGCTGTCAGGGACAGGCAGGGTTGGGGGTGGGCTAGAGAGAGGCTCTGGGCAGGACCCTGTCATGAGAGGCCCCGCCCCAGGCCGATGGGAGCCAGACTGGCCTCCTTTCCTGAGGCTGCAGTGCGGGGGTTTGGTGAAGCTTCTGGGGTGATAATTGGGCAGCGATTAAGTGTTCCCGGCAGCAGCGGCTGTGGCCTGTCACCTGTCAGCTCAGGCCTGCATTCACAGCCTCTGCAGCCCCTGCTGGAGAGAACTGGGGAGGGGAAGATGGGGCTCTGTGTGACACCCCAATGCTCCCTGCCCACGTGCCATCCAGGACACCAGGATTCCTTACCAAAGGCCTGGCCCCTGCCCAGCCCTGCCCTGCTCCCTGGGCCACCTTGGACACTTGCCCTTCTCCAGGACTGGCTCCCTCCATGCAGGTGAGGAAACTGAGGCAGCTGCACCATCTGTGACCTTGGCTCACATGTCCCCAGTCCTGTCTTCTTGTCAGCTTGCTGATGCCTCGGGTGAGGGTGGCAGCTGGAAGACATTGCTGGCCAGAGGCTGAAGAGCTGTGCCCTGGCATGGACGCCAGGGGCCACACGGGCTTGTAAACCCTGACCGGGCTGGTCCCTGGTCACCGAAGTGCTGGCTCTCACAGTGGCCACACATGCACGGTCAGCGCCCAGTGCCCAGCCAACACCGACAGGCTCAGGCTGGCCTCAACCCAAACACGTGGCCCTCTGTGACAGCCAGCTGCACTCATCCAAGGGTGCTGGCCTCTGCCCACCCCGCAGGTGCCCACCTAGCTCCTCTCCTTGGGATTCCGAAGTAGAGCAGTGGGAAGCTCCCAGAGGCTTCTCTGCCTGGCTCCCCTCCCAGCCCCGCCGTGCCCCTCCACCCTCCCTTCTCTGTCCGCCCACTTACCTTTAATTAGAAATGCCAGGAGAGCCATTTTGGGGGAGCTTTTCCAGAAAGACATTCCCCCCAGGGGCGGAAGGAAGGAGGAGACAGACTGGCTCTGAGGCGACGAGAGGGCTCCCTGGGAGATTGGGGGGGGCTCAGAGGGTGGGCAGAGAGCAGGGATTCCAGCAAGTGGGCACCTGTATGCCCTTGAATGCCTGAACAAGATGGGGTGCGGGGGGAGTGGAGGGCTGAGTGGGGGGCATGAGTGTGTGTGTGGGGGCTGTGAGTGAGGGCATGAGTGTATGGGGTGGGCTTGAGTGGGGGCTATGAGTGTGTGTGCGGGGTGGGGTTAGAGTGGGGGGAATGAGTGTGTATGTGGGGGTGTGTGTGGAGGTATGAGTGTGCAGCCCGTGTGTGTCTAAGAGGAAAAGGGCAGCTGGCGGCAGGGACAAGGTGTCTTGATTGTCAGCAGTGATGTGCTCTCACCCCTCTGGAGCTGGGGAATGGTGCGTTTCACCCGTGTGGGGCCTGGGGAGCATGGGGAACGTCGGAGGACCCGAGACCCATGCCGATCCAGCCAGCATCGGAGTAGCTCAGGAAGGGCGTCCCTCCCCCCACCCGGTTGCCAGGGAGGCAGAAAGGGCCTCCCTCCCGAGGGAGTCTCGGCTTCCGGAGCCCCGCTCCTTATATGGTGCTCGGCTTCCCTCTGCCTCTCGCGCTGCACTGTGCTGCCAGCACCGCCCTCCTCCCTCCTCCCCGCTCTCTTCTCCTCCCTCCCCCTCTCCTCTTCCTCCTTTCTCCTCCCTCCCTGTCTCCCTGTCTCCCTCCTTCCTCCCCTCTTCCATCTTCTTAGAAGTCTTGGAGCCTCTGGCCAGGTCTCTGCTGTAGCTGGGGGCTTCAGGGCCCAGTTCCCCTCACTGGGGGCCAAACGTCCCCTCCAGGTCCTCCAACCCCGACTCCCAGGTAGCAGCTGCCAGATTTCCCCAGAAACACAGAAAAGTATTGGGCCTCACCAGAGACCTGGGTGTGGAGGCCTGGGGCAGCCCCGTCCAGTCACTGCCACACAGGCACGTGCCACTCATGCACATCAACGTCAGGCTCTGGCAGAGCCGGCCTGGCTGTGTGTGCCTCACGCAGAGCCCAAGACCTGGACTCAGGACCAGGCAGGGGTGGGTGGGAGCGCAAAGCCACTTCTGGGAGCTCACATTTTTTATGTGTGTAGAGTTGCTGAGCCTCTGGGCACAGGGTTAGGGGGCTGATGGGGACGGTCCTTGCGGGGCTAAGCTGCACACCCCGCAGAGCTGGGCAGGCAGGGGCAAGGGCAGTGAGGACCCAGGAGAGCAGTGGCCAGCGCAACCCCCTCCAGACTCCCAAGAGAGGCGAGTGGAGAGAAAACCCACCGTGGGACCCCGGGAGGGAGGCAGCAGCTGACAGCCTGCCAGGCGCTGGGAGGGGTGTGGAAGGGGCTCCCAGGGCCCCGCTCAGCCCCTCCGGTCCCCGCAGGCTAAATGAGCCCCGCCACCTGGGGTGGGAGGTGCGGAGCCCAGGGATTAGTCATCCCGGCCCTGCGGAGTGTGCAGGGGGTGGGCCCTCCCGTCCCTCCGCCGCCCAGAGCCGAGTGGGCGCGGGGCGGGGCCTGCAGGGGCGCGGGCGGGGCGCTGGCGGGGAGCCTGCGGCGGAGCCAATGAGAAACGGGGCTCGGCGAGCCGGCCGCCCACGGGCCGCGCTGGCGGCATAAAGAGCCTGCGGCCGGGGCTCAGCGCAGAGCTCGGGCGCCGCGTCCTCCCTCCGCAGCCGAGCGGGACCTGCCTCTCGGGGCGCGCTTCGCCAGCCCCACGCCGGCCCGCAGCGACAGTCAGGCGCTCCCCGCAGCTCCGCACGGGACCCAGGCCACCGGGCTCCGCCGCCGGACCCTGCGCCCTCCACCCCGTCGGCCCCGACGAGTTTGCGCCCCTTCGAGCGCCGGCCTCTGCGCGCTGATGGAGCTGGACCACCGGACCAGCGGCGGGCTCCACGCCTACCCCGGGCCGCGGGGCGGGCCGGCGGCCAAGCCCAACGTGATCCTGCAGATCGGGAAGTGCCGGGCCGAGATGCTGGAGCACGTGCGGCGGACGCACCGGCACCTGCTGACCGAGGTGTCCAAGCAGGTGGAGCGCGAGCTGAAGGGGCTGCACCGCTCGGTGGGGAAGCTGGAGAGCAACCTGGACGGCTACGTGCCCACGGGCGACTCGCAGCGCTGGAAGAAGTCCATCAAGGCCTGCCTGTGCCGCTGCCAGGAGACCATCGCCAACCTGGAGCGCTGGGTCAAGCGCGAGATGCACGTGTGGCGCGAGGTGTTCTACCGCCTGGAGCGCTGGGCCGACCGCCTGGAGTCCATGGGGGGCAAGTACCCGGTGGGCGGCGAGCCGGCCCGCCACACTGTCTCCGTGGGCGTGGGGGGTCCCGAGAGCTACTGCCAGGAGGCGGACGGCTACGACTACACCGTCAGCCCCTACGCCATCACCCCACCCCCGGCCACCGGTGAGCTGCCTGGCCAGGAGCCCGCCGAGGCCCAGCAGTACCAGGCGTGGGTCCCCGGCGAGGATGGGCAGCCCGGCCCCGGCGTGGACACGCAGATCTTCGAGGACCCCCGGGAGTTCCTGAGCCACCTGGAGGAGTACCTGCGGCAGGTGGGCGGCTCGGAGGAGTACTGGCTGTCCCAGATCCAGAACCACATGAATGGGCCGGCCAAGAAGTGGTGGGAGTTCAAGCAGGGCTCGGTGAAGAACTGGGTGGAGTTCAAGAAGGAGTTCCTGCAGTACAGCGAGGGCACGCTGTCCCGGGAGGCCATCCAGCGGGAACTAGACCTGCCCCAGAAGCAGGGCGAGCCCCTGGACCAGTTCCTGTGGCGCAAACGCGACCTGTACCAGACGCTGTATGTGGACGCCGACGAGGAGGAGATCATCCAGTACGTGGTGGGCACCCTGCAGCCCAAGCTCAAGAGGTTCCTGCGCCACCCGCTGCCCAAGACCCTGGAGCAGCTCATCCAGCGGGGCATGGAGGTGCAGGACGACTTGGAGCAGGCGGCCGAGCCGGCTGGCCCTGGCCCCCACGTCCCTGCCGAGGACGAGGCTGAGACCCTCACGCCCGCCCCCAACAGCGAGTCTGTGACCAGTGACCGGACCCAGCCTGAGTAGAGGGCAGCCTGGAGCCCCCAGCCTGCCCATCACATCCAGCCTGTGGCTTTGCCCACCAGGACTTTTGAGCTGGGGCTGACTCCTGCAGGGGAAGCCCTGGTCCAGCTGGGTGCCCCCTCGGGCTCCGGCCCGACTTGCACCCACTTGTGTCATCCAGATGTGGGCACCGCACCCAGCAGCAAAGAGCCCTCCCCCCTGCAGGGCTCCGCCCAGCCCCTTCCCTCCGTCTGTCTTCCCGGCCTGGACCCCACCCTCCACACACTCGGACCATCACACAACACCCCGGCTTCCTCAATCTGCTACAACGCCCAGGCCCTCTGAACATCCAGAAAACCAAGTGTCGGGATGGCAGGGGCCAGCGGCCACCAAGCTCATGGGACACCCCATAGCAGGAGCTAGGGCAGAGCCAGTGCTGAGGGAGCTTCGACTTCCGGCGCCGCCGCCCTCTCCCGGCATCCCCAGAGCCAGCAGACGCCCTCCCTGCCTCCCAGGGCAGCTGGCCAGCCTCGGGCAGAGCGGCCCCCTCCTCCCAGGGGAGAGCGGAAGTCACAAACGCAGCAGCAGCAGACCTGATGTCCTGGTGCCTCCTGGCCCCACAGGTGAGCCCCTGCCCCAAGGTACCACCCACCGTGGGGCATCTGAGAGCTGGCGGGACCCAGAGGCTGTTTTCTAGGAGAGCCCACCCAGCTGGGGCCCCCAGCAAGTTAGCCGAAGGGATGGGGTGGGGGTGGTGTCATGGAGGGGGCATCGGGGAGAGGGGGCCAGGGTGGGAGGCAGGGGCAGTTTGCTGAGCCAGCTCTCACATGGACCCGCGCTTTCTCTTCCCCAGCTCCGGTGATTCACACCCGCCTGGAGAAGAATCAGAGCTCAGCTCATGACTCAGCTGTGGCAGGCGGAGGGTCCCAGAGGGGCTGAGTCCTCAAATCCGGCTGAGGCAGCAGCCGGCACCCTCGGAGCCAGGAGAGTGACAGCAGGTAACGGAGCGCCCCCCTCCCACCCAGGCCCCACCATCAGCTGTCCCTGCCAAATGAGCTCCTTCCCAGACCCCAGACACCCGGGTTCCAGGCCACTCTCCAGTACTCGGGCAGCCTGGGAGGCTCTGACAGGGTTGGGGGCTTCAGCCCTGGGAGAGCAGGGCCCTCCGTCATCCCCAGCCCCTCCCTGTGGAGCCTGCTGTCCCGCCTGGTCCCTCACCACCTGCTCTCTTCTTCTTTCAGGTCTCAAGGTTCCCACGAAGTCTTTGCTGCTGTGCTGGGCACCACCCACCCCTCACCTTGCAGGCTGCCCGCATGGGAGGCAAAGCTCCAGGACAGCCCAGAGCGGGGCTACAGAGAGGAGTCGCTGCGGCAGAGGGCAAGAGCCCAGCTTAGCCCTGAGCGCCAGCATGAGGGCCAGGGCCTGCCGCTAAGCCCGCCCCGCTGGCCGCCAGCTGCCCGCCCCCAGAGCCACTGCAGCAGGAGTCGGGGTCCTGCCTCCCGCCCAGCAGGGAACCCCCGCCCGCTGCCAAGCCATCCTCTCTGCCAGAGGCTTTCATGAGCCCCAAGGCTGGGCCCACCGCCCCTACTCCTGCCCAGGAACCCTGAGCCCAGAGCCCAGCTGCAGGGAGGTTGCTCCTGGGGCTCTTCCAGGCCTTCCGCCCCGCCCCGACACCAGCACCCTGGTGCTGGCGGGCCGCTGGCATCTGCAGCCTGAGCAGGCGCTGGCCAGGGCTCGTCGTCTGCCTCGTCCGCTGGGGAACTAGCCCTCGACCACTCTGACAAGTCTTCAGCCCACACCCTGCCAGCCCCACAGATGTTACTTTTACACATAAGCCATAACCAGCCCGCACAGGTTTTGGGGGAGCCCTGGAGCCTGTGGAGACCCTGGAAACCTCACGAGGGTGCGGCCAGCCCTGCCCCCTGCCCCACACAGACCAGGCCTTACATGTCCGTCCAGGCCCTGTGCACCTTACCCCAAAGACAGACTCGTTTTGTAAGATTTTGTTAATAAAACGCTGAAACTTCTTGGAGCGTTCATGTTGCTTTCTTCTACATGCCGGGGCTGGGCAGGAGTAGAGCTACAGACGCACGTCCCTCAGCCCAGAGAGTGACCCCGGAGACCCCAGGGGTGCAGTGAGAGGGCTCTGGCGGCTTGGGGGTTGGGGGAGCGCCAACAGGGCAGCCTCCAGGGTCCCGGGTTCTCAGGCGGAAGCATCCTAGGGGCTCCACGCAGCGGCCCCCGACCCCCGCAGCCCACTAGGCCTGGTCAGCGCCACCTCCGGGCCTGAGGTGGCCATGAGTAGGGGTGACTGCTGACTGGGGGAGCCCCTGTCCATGCTGAGCTGAGGCCTGTCCTTCTGTAAGTCCTACTGGCACGTGGGTGTACAGCTGGGTGCAGGGGGACTATAGCTAGGGCTTGCCCCACACAGCCATCTCAGGCTCTGGCACCCTGCAGACCCAGTCAGTGCAGACCCCGCTGGGGAGGGGACCCTGGCCATTCCTGGCTGCCAGCTCATGAACTTGGTCTCTCTGAGCCTCACTTTCCCCGTCCGCAAAACAGGGCATGCTATCCTGACGATGGTCTAAGCTGAAGAACTTGGAAACAAGGGTAACTCGATGCCCTGCGGGAGGTCAGCCCCCCTGCCTTTGCAGGGGACACTGAGTTCCCCGGGGAAGGAAGAGATGGCCTGGAGCAGGCATCAGCCCCGACCCATCAGTGTTCAGCGAGAAGCAGGACTGGCAGGAGACGGAATTCATTGCAAGGAATTGTCTTACTCAATGGAGGGGCGGCTGGGCCAGTCAGCAATCTACAGGGCCGCCGAACTGTGGGGAGTGGGCTGAAGCGGGCACCTGGGGCGGAATTTCTTCTCCATCACAGAAGCCTCAGCTTTTAAGGCCTTTCAAGGAACTGAACCAGGCCACACAGGTCGCAAGGGCGCTTTTCCTGAAAGCCCCTGTGCCATGCCTTCCGGGCAATGCCTCTGTTAGGGTTTGATTGAGCCACTGAGAAGGTACCCTGGCCAGGTCTACCCTCACAGCTGCCCTGGTCATTTGCTGCTGGAAGCGCCCGCCCCTTCGGTGGGGTTGCTCTTCTCCTGGGGATCCTGGGCCAAGACATGAGGGCAGCTGGTGGGTGGCGCCAGCTCAGCCCCTCCCACCCGGGGGGGCATTGCACCTTCGGGGTCCTGGCGCTGAGCTCACTGCGCCTGCAGCAGCAAGGGGCCGGGGAGAGCAGGAAACGGGAGACCAAGCAGAGAGAGCCACCTGCTGCCAGGAAATGTCGTCACCCAGGCGCAGGGCTGGATCAGGGCTTCCACGGTGAAGGGGCCGCCTCCACCCTATTCTTCTCTTGCATTTCTTTTAAATAATGAAGCCGCTGGAAGAATGGGGAGAGGAAATTGGCAGGAACAGGAAGCTGGGCACCACGGTGCTGCCTGAAAACAGTCATTTGTCATGGAAGTGCTACTTCACACATGAAAAGCTGGGGGCTGTGACGCTCTTCCCTTTTAGTAACAAGTGATTCCCTGTCATTGTGGAACAGGCTATCAGAACCCTTCAGGTAATGGAGGTGCAGCTGTGTCACTGTGTTCCCAAGTAAAGAGGCTGGAGGCTGGAGTGGGCAGGTGGGTGGGGGGGGACGGAGGGGCCCAGACCCTGTGCCAAAGTCCTGCAGTCTAAAGACCAGGTCCTGGGACAGGGTGTTCCCCGACATAGGCCCCTCCCCACCCCTCACTGCTCCTGCCCATCCAAGTATCACAGACCACTCAGTCTCACACCCTCACTGTAGCATGGGGAAAATGAGGCACAGAAAGTTGCCTCACTTTGGGGAGAAGCACCCAGGAAGCCCCTAGAGGTTCATCCCGCAGACCCAGCTTGGTGGGAGGCCTCGGAGCCAGGAAGCACAGGTCAGATCCCAGGGCCGCCAGGAGGCTGGTGCCTTTCCCGGCCTTACAGAGCCAGTGTGCGGGGTAGAGGGCAGGTGCTGGGGCCCTTTGTTGCCTTCAAGGTTCAGCAGAGATTAACGGCTCCCAGTCTCAGCAGGGTCACTGTTGAGGGCTGGCAGGTGCCTCTCAGGGTTGCAGGGAAAGCGATGGGCTTGGGAGAGTGTGTGAGTCTGGGCCAGGCGAGGTGGCTGCAACAGAGGCCCTGCAAATTTGGAGGGCAGTCTCCCCTCTGCAAAACATGTGGCTGGGCAGCCTCTGTTCCTTCCAGAACTTCCAGGTTCCTGGACACTCCGGGCTGCTACCCAGAGGGGCAAGAGACGGAGAGAGATACGCCACTATTGTAAAGCTGAGCCCAGAAACTGTCACTGCCACCCATAGCACCTCTGCCCATGCCCAGTGACAAAATCCTGGATGCGTATGGGAAGGAGGAAGGATCTAGGTGGGCAGCCAGTGGACAGAAGGTACACTGAATATCGTTTAGGGTGGTATGTGTGAAGAGCGTGATCTCGGCCAGAAACGCCTGGCCTCTGCCTGGGGCTCCTGGGACATCACTACACCCCGAACGCTGGGGCCTCAGGCCACACCGATGGTCTCATGTGACTTCAGGGGAGGCTTTGGGCTATGTGGCATCAGCTCTGCCTCCAGAAGGGCTGTAGATGGCTGAGCCAGGTGGGCGCCAACCAGGTCCACGTGGCAGACCCCAAGGCAGGAGCTACCGTGGCTGTCCATGCTCCGTACACCTTGACCCACGTCGCTATGGGAGGGGCGGGGCCTCACACTGTCCAGGACCCCGGGGAGGACCACCAGGAGCTCTGTGTCTAACCCCCCCGGGCTCTGTCCCATGTGCCTCTTTCCATTCTGGTTTTATATTTTATAGTTTTGAGACAGGTCTCTCTGTCACTGAGGCTGGAGTACAGGGCCACAGTCACCGCTCACTGCAGTCTCCACCTCACCGGCTCATGCCATCACCCACACCAGCCTTGCAAGGAGCTGGGACCACAGGTGTGTGCCACCACACCCGGCTAATTTATTTCTTTATTTGTTTATCTCTCTCTCTTCCTTTCTTTTTTCTTTTTCTTTCTTTCCCTTTCTTTCTTTTCTTTTCCTTCCTTCCTTTCTTCCTTTTTCTCTTTCTTTCTTTTTCTTTCTTTCCTTCCTCTTCCCCCCCTCCCTCCCTCTCTCTCTCTCTCTCTCTCTCTCTCTCTTTCTTTCTTTTCTTTTCTTTCTATGGGGTCTTGCCCCAGGCTGGTGTTGAACTTCTGGGGTCTAGTGTTCCTTCTGCTGGGCTGATTTCAATCTGCATTTTTTTCTCCGTAGGAATCCAATGGCTTCCAGGGGTGCTGCGGACCGCTGAGGCGGCTGTCAGGAGCCCAGGCATCTATAGTTGGTGTCGGAAGTGAGGGCGGCTCAGTCGTGTGGACTGTTCCCAACCTCACAGGTGGCAGGACTCATTTCTCGTTGGCGAGGGTCTTCTCACTCCAGGAAGAGTTCAAGTTAGTATAGAAACTTAAAGAGAATTGTCAACAAATTATCTACGTTTTATATTTTACAGCATTTTAACACCGAAGAGCATTTGGCTGATCAGAAGCCACGGAGCACCCCCTCCATGCCCGGCATGCGTCCCGCTGGCCTCCGCCCTCTGGCCCTCTGTCTCCATCTCTCTCGGCGGAGCTGGGGAGGAACTGGCGGGGGCAGGTGAGACAGGTCAGAGCTCTGTGACTCCTGTGGCTGCTGGGTAAGGAGGGAGTGAAGAGGGTGGACCAGGGGCCGAGGACCCTTCAGAAGGAGAAGAGGAAGTTCAATGGAGAGGGGCGCCGGGCATCCAAAGGCCGAGGAGCCCTTCCCTTTCTGCCTGGTTCTGGTGGGGCTGAGGTCCCAGAGTCGAGGGGGGATCAGGAGGCCCATGCCAGGTGACGCTTGAGGGCACAGAGGGGCTCAGTGCAGCCTGGTTCTGGGGTCCCCGCCCAGCCCTGCTTCCCTGGAGTGTGTGAGATCAAGAGGACAGTGCTGTCCTCCAGGCATGCTGGCGTGCATCTGCAGTGCACACCGGCCCCGCCCTGACTGCACGTCCTCCTCGCCCTGCCTCTTCCATGGGCACCATGGGGCTAATAGCGCTCACTTATTGCCATTGGCTGGGCACAGTGGCTCGTGCCTGCAATCCCAGCACTTAGGGAGGCTGAGGTGGGAGGATGGCTTGAAGCCAGGGGTTCGAGACCAGCTAGGGCAGGATAGTGAGACCCTGTCTCTACAAAAAATAAAAATTAAAAAAAGGCCGGGTGTGGTGGTTCATGCCTGCAATCCCAGCACTGTTTGAAGGTGAGGCAGATGCCAGTGGATTGCGTGAGCTCAGGAGTTTGAGATCAGCCTGGGCAACACGGCGAGATCCCATCTCTACAAAAATATAAAATAAATGAACCAGGTATGGTGGCGTGTATCTGTAGTCCCGGCTATACTGCTTGGGAGGCTGAGGGAGGAGAATTACCTGAGCCGGGAAGTGGAGGCTGCAGTAATCCCTGTTCTTGCCACTGCACTTGAGCCTGAGCAATGGAATGAGACCCTGTTTCAGACAAAAACAGCAACATTACACCAGGGTGAAACACCTTCCATGCCAGGGACTCTGATCGTGCTCCCTTCTGACAGAGCTCGGTGCTCCTGGAATTTCAGGTCGCCTCTTTCTCTCTTCCACCAGGCAGCGCTGCGTCCTGTGAAACATTCCTTCGTGTCTGTGTTCTGTTTGCTTGTTTCCTGGAGATGCCCTTCCTGGAATAAAATCATCTTTAAAAGCTAAAATTGACGACTGAGGAGCCCCTGGGCCCACGCCTCTCTGTGGCCGGCCACCACCTCTGGGTAAAACCCACATTTCCAGCTGTCAGGCCGCTCAGCTCGGCCCTCCCCTGCCCACCCACCCCCGCTGGGGCAAGGAGCTCCCTCCTGGGCTGGTAGACCAGCAGCCCATTCCCATCTCCCCTTTCCCCGCAAGCCTGTTTCACACTCTGCTCCTTCCCTCTCCCTCCAGCCCCGCTCTGGTCCCTCCAGAATCCCTTAAAAGCAAAGCCCCCAGAGAGGATCAGGCGGGTCCCC